AATGAAATGAGGAATGAATGAAATTTGAAGTCACAGATACTGGAAAACTATTAATAAAGTGGTTGTGTTTAGGCTAGACTCATTTTATGTAATCATATAATATCAAAAGATTCTAAATCCATTTTTCCCCTAATATTTGCCAATATTGTGTAAGGGTTAGGGTTACAGTCTATAATACGAGCTGTACCCTAAGTAGGACGAACAAGGCCAATTCTGCACTCACAATTTATTAATTAATAATTATAACAACTTTATATTAGCTTACTTTGAGACTGGAATCCTTTCTCTGCTTCACTGTTTTATAGTCAGATTATTTGTCACCATCATCTTGTAAAGATTTGCTGTGATTTACATTGAAAACCCTTTAGATGGGTTCGCAAAAATTCTATGCCTGTCTTAGAAAAACAATTAAAATGATATAAAAATCCTACTTATTTAGAATCTTCAAAATGATCTCTTGTGACTAGACTGATTTAATGGTTAATTTATGATTAATACTTTAAAAGACAAACTTAACTAACATGTTAACTTCTGAGGAGGTGACAGTTATTCTAAAATATTCTTACTCCCATTCTGTCTTAAAAATATTTCTTAAATGTTTTATTTATTTATATTTGAGTTGATTTTGAAATGATTTAATTCATCAGAGCCAAGCATTCTGGACATAGTCCTTTTTTGATGATTTGAGACAGTCATCATTGTTTTTTGTCACTAGAATTTATGCCTTGCCGCCTTCTCATCATGCTGTGTTGTGAATATTGGTGTAGATGCAGCAACATTGTGGTTGGTATGAATATAAGGCTGGTATGCATCACTCATTTCAACAGTCTCATTCAGAGTTGTCCTTTCTATATGTTTTGGTGGGCGTTAGTAGCTTTACACCAGGATACAATCAAAAGAAACCTGTTTTTGCCATGATGTGACGCATATAGCTGTTTGACCTCCCATACTCTAGCACTAGACCTGATGTTTAGAGTAGAGTCAATACATTTTAGCTAATTTTTCCACGATCTGTTGGATTTTGCTGTTAATGCTGATCTTCCCTCTCTCTGCTTTTTCTTTATTTCTTCTTTCTTTTGTTTGTTATAGTCTTCTAAGAGCTTTTCTGCAGGAAAAATAAAATAGCCAATCAGAAATTCTCTGTCTTCATAATAATTGGCCAGTGCCCTAAAATTAACCCTAAATATCTCTCTTTATTTCTCCCTCTCTCTGCTTCATTCACCCGATTTTACATGCTCTTAGGTGTCTGAGCCTCCTTATCATCCAGGGGCTACTTTTTATTTATTTTTCTTTTTAAACTCTTTTCCAGTTTTGGAACTTTTCAGAAGTCTGGACCCTGAATAGTGAGACATAAAACATACATTTTCTCCCTGGTTGGACCAGTATGTCTTATTCAGGTTAAAAGGTTAATTTTACTATATGTCTTTGAACATTTCAAAGCACTTTAAATATGTTATAATTTTTTTTTTTTTTTTTGAGACAGAGTCTTGCTCTGTTGCCCAGCTGGAATGCAGTGGTGTGATGTTGGCACACTGCAATCTCCGCCTCCCAGGTTCAAGCGATTCTCTTGCCTCAGCCTCCTAAGTAGCTGGGGTTACAGGCGCATGCCACCACACCCGGCTAATTTTTGTATTGTTAGTAGAGATGGGGTTTTACCATGTTGGTCAGCTAGGTCTGGAACTCCTGACCTCGTGATCCACCCGCCTTGGCCTCCCAAAGTGCTGGGATTACAGGTGTGAGCTACTGTGCCCGGCTCAAATATGTTATAATTTTTAACATATTGCATTGATGGCTATTGTGGCTGACATCCTATCACATCAAAATTTTTACTGAAGGTAAGAAGAGAAATTCTGCTTTTTACGGAAGTAGCAAAATTTAACCAATAGTTCTTTTCTACTTACTTGAGGCAGATATTTTTCCAAATAGTAGTATCTTTATAAAGTGGTGTCTAAACTGTTTAACTTAGACATGAAGAGCCATGGAGTTATTGCTAGTTTTCTACAGTTCCTTAATTATTATCTTCAGTTTGAATACTCTCTTTTTCAGATGCATGTAGAAGCTTTAGTTTAGTTTTTTTTTTTTTTTTTGGAGACGAGTCTCGCTCTGTCGCCTAGGCTGGAGTGCAGTGGCGTGATCTTGGCTCGCTGTGAGCTCCGCTTCCTGGGTTCATGACATTTTCCTGCCTCAGCCTCACAAGTAGCTGGGACTGTAGGTGCTTGCCACCACACCCCGCTAATTTTTTTTTTGTATTTTTAGTAGAGGTGGGGTTTCACCGTGTTAGCCAGGATGGTCTTGATCTCCTGACCTCGTGATCCGCCCACCTCAGCCTCCCAAAGTGCTGGGATTACAGGTGTGAGCCACTGCGCCCAGCCGAAGCTTCAGTTCTTTTAAAAACACATGGGAAAAAAACTATACAACTGTATTAGTTTCCTAGGGCCACTGTACCCAAAGTGCCACAGACCAGGTGCCTTAAAACAGCAAAAATTAGTTCTCTCACAGTTCTGGAGGCTAGAAGTTCTAAATCAAGCTATTTTCTGGACTGTGCTCCCTCCAAAGCTTCTAGGAGATGATTCTCCTTTGCCTCTTCCAACTCCTGGTAGTCCCAAGCATTCTTTGATTTGTGTCAGCATATCTCCACTCTGTCTTCATATGACCATCTTACCTCTGTCTGTGTCTCTTTTCTTATAAGAGAACCAGGCATACTGGATTAGGGCCCATCCTAATTCTTTATGACCTGATCTTACCTTTATTACATACATGAAGACCTTATTTCAATCATGTTCACAGGGGTTAGGACTTGAACGTATCTTTTTTGAAGATAGGATTCGTCCCAGAACAACTATAAACAGTGCATGCCATATCTTCCAAAGAAAGGCTTAGCTTCATCACTTTAAGTACCGGTGGACCTCTCTGTTCCTGTTGTCTTTGACTAAACCTTTTTTTTTTGCGAGAGGGAGAAGAATGAGACAGAGAATGTAGGATATTCAGAGACCTTAGGAATCATGCATTTATTTGTTTATTCACTTAGCAGATATTTGAGCATTTAACATGATAAACCATGATAGCCAACATCTGAATATTTACTATATAAAGGCATCATTCTAGACCTCATTTGAAGTTATTTCATTTAAATTTTACAAGTTTAGTGAGGTAGATGTTATTTTTATCTTCAATTTATACAAGAGGATGGAGGTATAAGTAGTTGAAATTGCTTTTGGAAGTTAAATGATGAGTAAATGACAAAGCTAGGATTTGTATCAGTTTGGTCTGACTCCAAGTTCAGTGCTCCCAACTAGCTGTAATCATCGAAATGTATTGAAACCATCCTGATAGATTTTTACTTTGGAGTATTAATAAAATGAAAGTCAGTTGCTTCTAAAGTATAGATAGATGTCCATATAAGTATGGACATAAAGTGTAGATAGTTATGTATACAGTATACATAGATGTCCATGTAAGTATGGACATCCATCTATGGACATCTATCCATGGACATACTTATATGAACATCTATCTATACTTTATACACAACTGTCCAAAATATAGACCATACTTTGATGGGTTAATAGAGAAGATTTTTGGATATTTCTGGAAGAATAGGTTCTGGGTATACATTGAAGTGACCCAACTATATTGTTTGTAGTAACTAGTGGGTATTTCTTACTACCTGAATTCAGTTGGTAAAATTGTTGAAGATAAATATCCTGGATGGAGTTAAAATGTAGTAATTCTTACTTAGTTTTATTAGAAAATAATTGGACCATGTTTTGGTTCATTAGTCCTGTGTCCCCTTTCTTATTCGATATCCCTTGAGTGTTATTGAAATTCTGGGAAATACAAGAAAAGGAGCTAATTATTGGGGGCCAAGACTCTTAAGACATGTAGAGGTTGCAGCACAAAATAAATAAAAAAAAAAAAGATGTCCTGAGGTTTCTGAGGTTGGAGATCAAGTTTAATAGTGGAAAAGGTTGACTGCCATTATAGTTGTTTGAGAAGGGTGAATTTGTGTGCAAGAAAGCAGGAGATATATTTTTACTAAATTAGGAAGTATTTCTCTGGGCTAAAGCTGATTTGAGGTAGAAAGGAAGATGAGGAGGAATGTAAGACAAAAGGAATTATCTTGGAAAAACTAGAGAAAAATAGGTTATATCTAGATCCAATTTCTAAAGGTAATTATAGCATAGAATCATATACTTGGATTTTTTTTAGTGTCAGTTAGAAGACTGGGGTGGTAGTCAGGGTTGTTCAGAGAAACAGAACCAATAGAGGGTGAGTGTGTATATAATCTGTGTCTCAATATACATGCATGTGCACACACACACAGATTTTTTTTTTTTTTTTTTTTGAGGCAGAGTTTTGCTCTTGTTGCCCAGGCTGGAGTGCAAAGGCACGATCTTGGCTTACTGCCACCTCTGCCTCCTGGGTTCAAGCGATTCTCCTGCCTCAGCCTCCCGAGTAGCTGGGATTACAGGCATGTGCCACCTTGACCAGCTAATTTTTTTGTATTTCAGTAGAGACCAGGTTTCTCCATGTTGGTAAGGCTGGTCTCGAGCTCCTGACCTCAGGTGGTCTGCCCGTCTCAGCCTCGCAAAGTGCTGGGATTACAGGTGTGAGCCACTGCACCCAGCCCGAGATTTTTTTTTTTTAAAGGAATTGGTTCATGTGATTGTGGAGGATGACAAGTCTAAACTCTGTAGAGTAGGCCAGCAGGCTAGAGACTCAAAGAAGAGCAGCTAGAGTTGGAAGGCCATCTGCTGACATAATTTGCTCTTTCTTAGGGGGAGGTCAGCCTTTTTCTTAAGGTCTTCAACTGATTGGATGAGACCCATCTACATTATGGAGAGTAGTTTGCTTTATTCAAAGTCTACTGATTTAAATGTTAATATCATCTAGAGAATACCTTCCCAGCAACATCCAGATGGTTTTTTACCAAGTGTCTGGTCACTGTGGCATAGCCAAGTTGACCCATAACTAATATTAAACATCACAACTGGCATAACTCTTTTGGTTAGGACTTTTTATTACTTAATCTGATATAAAAACAAAGTGAATTGGACAGTTTTGACTCATTAACTCAATTCATTCAGTCATTTCAAGTAAATACCTTGTTATCAGTATAGCATTTACATATTTAAATTGTTTTGGTAATTGCAGCTTTAGCATCTGGGAAAAGTTGAGCACAATTAACATTAATCTGCTCAAAAGAAAATGGTTATGTACAATTATTATGTGTTGATTATAAATAAAAAGTAAAATGATTACAAATTCCAAGTAAATGAATTGAAAATAGTGAAGCCATTTTTTTGGTTGTCATAGCCAGAGGAGTTATCTTCTGCTTTTAGAACATATGAGCAGAAAGGTTTCAGTTTTGCATTCTTAAATTCAAATTACAACCTTGGAAAAGAAGCTCTTTAATTTTTCCCCATTTTAGTTGGCATACCTGTAAAATAAGAATTTAGATGAGACTTTTAAGACCTCTTCCAGCGCTAACATTCTGTGATTTTGAAGTTGTTTTACCCTTAGAACATTTATCACATTCTCCTTTGAGTGTAGTTATTTGTGCTTTTTACTTTTCTCCTTTAATAGGTACTTCTCTAAGGTCAAAATGGTAAATTATCTTCATATTAATCTCAATTCCTTACCCAGAGAAAGCATCCAGATGTTTGTTTAGAATATAGTCTGTTAATGTAGTTCACTATATATAGTTAAATGTTGTTCTTCAAAACCTTATTAAATACACGAAAATTTAGTATAGCAATTCTTTGTCTTGGCCATCAGTATCAATTTGGGACTTTGCTTTTCATTAAAACTAAACTTGTCTTTGTAGACTTCTCATTTAAACTCATTCTGCTTAATTCTACTCAGTTGAATAGATTAATTTTGGGCCTTGCCATGGGTTATTAATAGTATCACCCAGGGCAAATTACTTAGACTCTCTCATCCTCAATTCCCTAAATAGTAAGACTGGAAATAATAATGGAGTATTTGCCAAGTTACCATCATATTTAAATGAAATAACTTGGACCAACATCAAGCACAGTGCTTGATACAGAGTAGACACTCATTAAAATGTTGGTTTTTTTTACCTCTTCAGAGTTGAGACTTTTGCATCTTCCTGGCAGCAGGGCACCTAGTATTAAATATTTAGTAAATGTTTGTTGGCCGGGCGCGGTGGCTCAAGCCTGTAATCCCAGCACTTTGGGAGGCCGAGGCGGGCGGATCACAAGGTCAGGAGATCGAGACCACAGTGAAACCCCGTCTCTACTAAAAATACAAAAAAAAAAAAAATTAGCCGGGCGCGGTGGCGGGCGCCTGTAGTCCCAGCTACTCAGGAGGCTGAGGCAGGAGAATGGCGGGAACCCGGGAGGCGGAGCTTGCAGTGAGCCGAGATCGCGCCACTGCACTCCAGCCTGGGCAACAGCGTGAGACTCCGTCTCAAAAAAAAAAAAAATAAAATAAAAAAATAAATAAATAAATAAATAAATGTTTGTTAAACTGAAGGGGCAAATGACTTAAATAACTTAATATGATAAATTATTACTGTATAAGTAATATTCAGTATTGTTATTAAGAATAGGCTTTAAGACATAAAGTAACTTTCTCTGTTGTCTCTATTTAATTTTTTTTGTGTAATAAAAGCATTTTCATCTTTAGTATTTTTGTTATTGTTGTTTCAGTGATGCAGCTTGGTTTAATGAATCTTGGTTAAGCCGAATTAAAGAGGATGTTGGGGACAACTGGAGAATAAAGGTATGCAGAACAAATGGGAGAAGCACTTGATCCAAACGGTAGTCCTAAAATTAGCACTAAGCTAACCAAATCTTTTTTTCAAATTAACTTGTAGTACTTTTTATTGTGTACAGTTTGAGTTTTAACACGTGTTCTCTCGTGTAACTACCATCATAATAAAATAGAAAATAGTCCTGTTAACCCAAAATATGCACTTTAGGCCCATTCTTTATTAATCCCTACCCCCAGCCTTGCCCTAGGTAGCTACAGATCTCTTTTATGTCACTTTGGAGTTCATTTCTGGAATTCTGTATAAATTGAATCATATAATGTTTACCTTTTTGTCTAACTTCATTCACTCAGTAATACTATTTTTGTGTCTCATTCATGTTGCCTGCATTAGTAGTTATTTCTCTTTTTTGCTAAGTAGTATTTAATTAAACTGATATTTTATGGTTTGTTTAGCTATTCACTTGTTGATGGATGTTTGAATTTTTATCATTTTTTAGTATTGTGAATACAACAGCTGCAAACATTCATATATGAATCTTCAGATAGATACATATTTAATTTCTCTTGGGTGAATTTCTGGGTGGAATTGCTAAGTTGTGTAAGTATGTGCTTAACCTTATAGGAAACTGCCAAACTGATTTTCTATTTTTAAGTCAGTTTAAGTAGGACATTTGTTTCATATAGGATATATGATTTGTTGATACACAGTTCTTAACTGAATTACTGTGCTAATAATATGCTAATAACTGATCTTTAATGATGTTTCCTTTTCTTTTCTTGCTATTGGTTATTTGTGTCTTTTGAATGTATTTTCCTTGATAAGTCTGGGTAGATGTTTTTCAGTTTTACTTATTTATTTTTTAAGGGATTAGCTTATGTTTTCCATTGATTTTTCTCTCTGATTTTTATTATTTCCTTTCTCTCACTTAATCTATTCTTCTTTTTCTTGCTTCTTAAGATGGAAACTTAAATAATCAACTTTAAATCCCCTTTTCCCCTAATATTAAGCAGCATCTTAGCCATATCTCACATATTTTGACAGACTGTTATTTTATTTTCATTCAATTCAAAATATCTGGTAATTTCCCTTGTGTTTTCTCCTTTGACCTATGAGTAAATTAGAAGTAGGTTTTCAAATTCAAAATATTTGAGGATTTTCCAGTTGCTTTTCTTTTATTTATTGGTTTCTAATAGATCTGAGAACATGCTCTCTACTGAGAAGTTATTTTACATTTATTGAATCTTATTTTATGACTGAACATATGGTCTGTCTTGGTGAATGTTCTATGTGTATATGAAAACAGCATGCATTCTACAGTTGTTATATAAATATAGAATTTGTCAAGTTTGTTGATAGTGGTATTTTTCACATCTTTATTGATATTTTCTCTTATTATCCTATATGTATGGTATAGTATAGACTCTGAAGAGGGCCCTTAAATCTCTAGTGATGATTTCGATTTTGTTGATTTCTCCTTGCATTTTTTTTGTTTTTTACTTCATGTATTTTGAATTTTTGTTATTAAGTTTATTACACACTATATTTCTTATGTGTTCTTGAATGAATTCACTTATTATTAAATGCTTTTCTTTATCCCTGGTAATATTCTTTTATTTGAAATCAAATCTGTCTAATACTAATGTAGCCACTACAGATTTTTTATGATTGTATTTTTCATTAGTATTTCTTTTTCCATTCCTTTAATCTACCTATGTCTTTTTATTGAAAGTGTTTCACGTGGACACCTAATAGTTGGGTCTTATGATTTTATCCAGTTTGACAATCTCTATTTGATTCTTTATTGTAAAAAACTTATTTCTTATGTTCATGTTTTTGTTCAAATCCTTGAACATCTTTAAACTAGAAGTTTTAACATTGTCTCTCAATTCTTTTATCTTTCATTTCTGAGCCCATGTGTATTGACTGAGTTTTCTCTTAATTTTGCTCCCCATTTTTCTGCTTTCTGTGTAGTAATTTTTTAATTTTACGCAAGATATTATGAATTTTATTACTGAGTGCTGATTTTTTTTTTTCAGTTGGAGTCATTTTTAATATTTAAATACAAAAAGTGAGCACTGACTTCTGTTTTTTTTAAACACACACACAGGTCTAACAACCAAACTGTGCAGGGGAAATGAACTCCTGATCTGTCTTCCACAGTCCCCATTCTGTGGCTGAAGCTGCAGCCAGCCTCCCTCCTCTCATACAGAGGGATTCATAGTGGCCACTTTACACTATAGGTGTAATGCATTTTGTCTTTCACATTGCGTGCATGTCCCTCCCCAACAGTTCCATTCTTTTTTAAAAAAAAATTAAAAAATAAAAAAGGCAATCGTTAATGGTCAGGGGCACATCCCTCCCACTGTCATCGGTTCCTACGCACAAGGGGAAAGTGACATCTTCTAGTTAGGAGCAATTTGGTGAAAGGAGTGGGGTGGCCAGAGCAGGAATAACTGTCTGCATGGCTGCACTCTGGTATCAGAGTGAAGATAGAAGTAAGGATAGTGTGGAGGGCACAGTTGCAAGTTGAGTCTTTCCATGAGACAGTGTGGGGAGAATTCTCCCCACCAGGTTTAGATAGATCAATGTGCCAAAGTTAAAAAAAAAAAATCCCAAATAATCAGCAGTTCAAACACTTGAATTTCAAACTTATCCCACTGAGACAGCTCAAACAGCAGTAACAATCTAGATCTTTCCAGGAAGTGAGGGTAGAGCCCCTGGCATTCCTCCAGAGAGCCCGTGTTAGGCCCTAGAAGTATCTACTGCTGCTGCAGTTGCTGCTGTTGCTCCATTTGCAACTTCTCAGTCTCAAAGACAATGGGAAGAACCAGGATCATAAAGGAAGTGGTCCCAATCCACAAGGCTGCCCTGGAAAATCTGTACATTTTTTGAGCCACAAAGAGGGAAAGATCAAAAGTGGCTCCGGCCGCGGACCAGGCCTTCTCCGGAAACATCTCCGTCAGGCCCCATAGTCTCTCCGACAGGGTCTCATCTAGCTCCTCATGGTCATCTTCCTCCAGCTCCTCCTCAGGCTTCTCCACGTCACCTTTCGGGAGCAATTCGTCCGGGGACTGGGGTTCCCCGGCACCGGCAGCAGCAACGGCGGCAGCCATGACTGAGTGCTGATTTTTTTAAGTTTTGTTTTGTTTTGTTTTTCCAAGACAGAGTTTAGCTCTTATGCCCAGGCTGGAGTGAAGTGGTGCAATCTTGGCTCACTGCAACTTCCGCCCCCCGGGTTCAAGTGATTCTCCTGCCTCAGCCTCCCAAGTAGCTGGGATTACAGGTGCCCGTCACCACACCTGGCTAATTTTTGTATTTTTAGTAGAGACAGCGTTTTGCCATGTTGGCCAGGCTGGTCTTGAACTCCTGACCTCAGGCGATCCACCCACCTGGCCTCCCAATTAAGTATATTCTTTTGAGGAGTGTTGAATTTTGTTCTTGCAAGCAGCTAAGGTACTTGGAATCAGTTTGATCTTTGAAAGGCCTATTTTTGGCTGTGGTGGGGGCAGAGCTAAAGTTATTCTTTCCTTTAGGACTAAGTTAGACCCATTACTAAACTGTGACCTTTTTGGGGTCTTTAGTGAATGCTTTGTGCATGTAGCGTGGTGTCTTCATTCTGGCTAGTGAGAATTTCAAAAATCTTTTGGCCTATGCAATCTTTGGGAATGGTTCAGTTTATAGTTCCCTGGATTGTTATT